AACTTGACCCATGGAAACTGTCCTGGCTGTCCATTTCCGGCCTGCGATGCGGATTTCGCCTTCCCATTGTTGCGGGACTTGTTGGTGCTTCGCGGCTGGACAGCAGCCACCTGATCTCTGTCACTTGATGCTGGAGTGGCTGCTGGGTTATCTCCACTGTCCAGCTGGACTGCAGCGAAGTGCTGCTGTCGCGGACCAATTCGTACCTTCTCCACATAGGTCGGCTGCCATGATGTTGATTTCTCGTGTGCAACTGACCTGTTGGTCTTGATGATCTCCCTCGCTTTGTCAATGATCTCCGCGAAGGTTGAGTACTGCTCGCGATCACCAAGAGCCTGGCTCAATGCAGCACAGGACCTGTTGTAGAACTCACGGCGTAGATGCTCAAATGGTAAGTTCAGATTGGGCACAACCGCAATCTTCTGCCACTCCGTGAGCCAGTCCCGTGTTGCTGTGTTGCCCTGTGACATGGTGAACAAACGGTTGATGGCGAGTGCCGGCACGTCGTCGACGATGAACCACTTCTTCCACAACCGTGTCAGTTCCTCCCATGTGATTACGTCCTTCAAGTCTGGTACGTCGACGCCGTGGGAGGTTGCCAGGTGGCTCAACCAGGTCTGGCATCCGCCCTTTGAGTTCAGGAACAGGGCGCCGATGTACGCATGCTTGGCTACGGGCCGAATCCTGAGTTGCGTTGTGAATGCTTCCCACCAGAGAACCGGATCCTGCTGCGTGTAGTCGTCGAACCTCTCCAGATTGAAGGTTGGCATCTTATACATCTTCGGATTGCCATCCCTGTTCGTCGTCTGCAGGTGCTGGACCTCGGTCTTCAATGTATGCAGCTGACTGCTGATGGTGGTGGTCGGCGCAGCGAAGGTGCTGATGTCGCCGAGCATTGCCACTACGTGGTCAACGCGGTCCTCCAGTTGGCGGCTCAAGGGTGCACTGCTGGAAGCCCCAGCAGTTGGTCCTGGTACAGCCTGTTCCAGGTCCAGCAATCGGGCATTGAGTGCCCGGGTTGCATCCTCGTGGCTCTGCACCATGCGGCGGAGCTGTGCCAACTCCCGATGTTGTTGCGTCAGGTCGTGGTACTGTCTCTCCAACTCTGACCGCTGGTAGTTGCAAGCATACAACAACCGCGTCACGAGTTTGGAGAGGAACTCCTTGTGCTTCTCTTCCGGTGTTGCCTCGTCGCCGTTTGGTTCAAAGTGCCAGAACTTGAGTCTGTCGGTGCTTGTGGCTTCATGCTGTTGTAGCAGATCCTGGGCTTCCTTGCGGCGAGCCTGGGAGTCTGCGTCTGCATCGGCCTGTAGTCGCAGCTTCTCTGCTGCTGCTGCCTCTTCAGCCTGTACGCGGAGAGCCTCGGCTGCCAGCTGGCGTTGTTCCTCAGCCTCGATCTGAGCCAGGCAACGCTGCTTGTAGGCGGCAATGGACTCGTTGGGCAGTTGCCCTCACAGGCCCGTCATGTTGCTGACGTGGCACTGCTGACGTGGCACTTTGTCTGACGTGGCACTGTGTCCGACGTGGCACTGCTGATGTGGCACTGCTGATGTGGCACTTTGTCTGACGTGGCACTGCTGATGTGGCACTGCTTACGTGGCACTGTGTCTGACATGGCACTGCTGATGTGGCACTGCTTACATGGCACTGTGACCTGGTACTGCTGACGTGGCACTGCTGACGTGGCACTGCTGACGTGGCACTGTGACCTGGCACTGTGACGTAGCACTGCTGACGTGGCACTGCTGATGTGGCACTGTGACGTGGCGCTGCTGACGTGGCACTGTACCGAACCGGTATGCATGCAAGGGGTGGGTGGGAGGGAAAACGTAGGTAGGTAACCAACCCAACAATACTTTCCTCCGGCCCTAATCAACAGATAAAATAAAAGAATAAAAAATAAAAGAGGACTACTTCCTTTTTTTTGTTTTTTTTTGTATATATCTGTCGATTTATGATGAGTAGGATATGTCAGAAGAGTATTATGAACGAGATCTAGGCTAGGTGCTGCAAAGTTTTGGCTTTTACAAACTGTGATCTTGAACAAAATTTTTTTTGCGAAATGGAGTAAAGATGCGATTTTCAGAAAAGAACGAAATCCAGTTTCTGAGAATATAGCAACCTCCGAATATGCCTAACGCAATATTGGTAGGCTTCGCAGGATTCGGTTTTCAAAAAAATTTTGCGAGATAGAATGGAAATGCGATTTTCAGAAAAGAATAATTTCAGTTTCCGAGAATATGACCACTTCTATCGTTATCCAATATGCCTAGAGAACGAAACTACTAACTTCAGAAATTTCAGCTATGTATGCGAAATATCAGAGGAACGAATTGCTACTATCGGGAATTTTCAGACAAAACGAAATGCGATTTATCAGAAATTTCAGATAGTTGTTGCGAGAAAAAAAATTTCAGAGATTTGACTAAGTCCTACTTGCGTTACTAATGAGTGATCAATAGATCGCAAGCTGGCTACTTGATTGAGCGGGTCCTCTG